AAAAAAAAAAAAGACATCACAGTCCCAGACTGGAAATTATAGTACAAAGCTACTGTGACAAAAACAACATGTTAATGGGCAAAAACCAAAAACAAACAAACAAAGAAACAAAAACCAAGGATCAATGGAACTGATTAGAAGATCCACAAATTACTCCTAGCAATACTCAGGTACCTTTTCTTTGACAGAGAAGCCAAACATCTTCACTGGAAGAAAGATAGCCTCTTTAAGAAATGGTGCTGGGAGAACTCTCTTTTTGACTTGCTAAAGATTAGAACTAGAACTATTATCCTTCACCATGCACTAAACTAGAATCTAAATGGATCAAAGATCTAAATATCATACAGAAACACTACATTTGGTAGAAGATAGAATAGGTAGAACCCTTGAAGACACTGGTATAAGCCAACTTTATGAACAAAGCCCAGACTTCAGGGAAAATATTGGAAAGAATCAGCACCTGGGATCTCATCATATTGAAATTCTTTTCTGTAACAAAGCAAACTACCAACAGAATGAAGAGAAAATCCACAGAATGGGGAAAAATTGCCAGATATTTCTTAGATTACAGATTAATATCTAGAATACATGAAGAATTCAAAAAAACTCACAAATTTAAATATTCAATCAAAAAATGTACATCTGAGATAATACATACCTCTCTGCTGAACCAATGGAAACAGAAACAAATATGTGAAAAAATGTTCACTTTCATTGGTCATTGGAGAGATGCAAATTCAGATAATGTTGAGACTCCACCTCACCCCAGAAAAAATAGCTATCACCAAGAAATCAGACAACGGCAAATGCTAGTGATGTTGTGGGGAAAAGGACACTCTTCTCCACTGTTGGTGGGAGTATAGACTGGTACAATCATTGTGAAAATCACTGTGGAGAATCCTAAGAAAGCCAACAATAGAGGTTCCATTGGACCTACCTATTCTCCTTCTTGGTATCTTCCCCCCAAAATGACATAAGCATAGTAGCACAGCAACATATGCGCACCCATGCTGATAGCTGCATAGCTTGTAATAGCTCAACCTTGGAACGAGCCCAAATACCCATCAGTCAGTGAATGGATAAAGATTTTCCCTCCCTCCCTACCTTCCTCCCTTTATTCATTCATTCATCCATTCTTTGTTTTTTTATACAACGGAGTACTATTCTGCCATAAGGAAAGCTGAGACATTTCTCACTAAAGGATACACCTTGAGAACCATATCCCAGTGAAATAAATCAGATACATATGTTTAAATATCTGGTGTGAGAAACCAAAAGGGTCATAAGGACAATAGTTACTGGGAAATGAAACCAAAATGCTAAGACCAGAAGGGGAACAAGGGAAGGAGAAGCAAGGAAAGAAAAGAAAAAAAAGCGAATTGAAAAAAATGGAAACAAAGCTTTAGTAAATAAGCAGAAGAGGGTTTGAAAGAAGGGAAGCAGAAAGAAAACAGCGAGATATGTCATGTACATGTACAAATTCCCTAGGATGAGTATTATTATGAATGCCTAAATGTACTGTAGGAGACCATTAACTGGTATCCATTTTATAATAGTGTCAGCCATTTTCTTAAGTTTCTATTCCCCTGCTGAGTTAAGTTTATGGTCCTTCTCACCTTGCCCATTCCCCATGAATCACGTGCTATGCCTCAGGGGTTGCACCTTCCCCTGTTGCCTAGATACCTGCTGACCCCTAGAGCTGAAACTTCTAAATTCCTACACTCCCTATATGTACCCAGCCCCTCCCCTGAATAAACGAGACTTGATCAGAATCCTGTCTTGTCTCCATTTCTTGCGTCTCCTGTCCTTTGTCCCCTCTTCAATTCCCCGCTCCTCCCCCAGGTGACCTTCGTTGACTGACCCGCTGGTTCGGGACAATGTACCAAAATAGTTAAGAGTATTTCCTCCAGTTCTGGATTAATAGGTACTTACTGGAGTATTTTCTATATACTGGCATATACAGAAAGCTCTTAAATACAGTCTATAGACCAAGCTCTACATAGCTTCATAGCTAGCAGCAAAAAATCAGAACCCTATCTAAAACTCATAATGGCAATAATTAAGAAAAACAAAATGAGCAATACTTTGTTAACCTGCAATTATGTTATTTCTATATTATCTAACCAAATGAACTCTAAAGTTGGACAGTATTTCTGTTTAAAACAAAGATTGAATTTATAATAACTGCACACATGCATGTGGCTCATGCGACTTTTTGCATATTTAGCCCATTTTACTCTTCTTATTAATAATTATATTTTAAATGTCAGAATACCATCTAAAACATTTAAAGCATGCTTTATGCTGCTTTCATCCATGAAGACATGCTATAATTTGAGGAATTTTACCGTACTTAATTTTAATGTCATTATTTCCCATGGTGCTCAGCAGAGATGGCTACTCATACGCAGAAGTTCTGTCTTGTCACTGGATCCAACCTCCCAGCCCAGCATAGATCCAGTTAGGAACACACTGAGTGGTGGGCATTTTTTAATATTCAGAGACAAAAACAGAGACAGAGACTAAGAGTCAAAAAGAGATGGAGACAGACACAGAGCGATGGAGGGAGGGGGCACAGAGATCCTCAACTGAATGTAATTGTCAACAATCCTTTAGCTCCTCACTAATAGCTGGGATGTTAAATTCTCAAAAGCTGATACCAAATACAGAAACAGATTAAATCTGATTATGGATTTATCTTTCAAATCACTTTTATAGATTTCAAAACTAGCCTAGATTTCAGTCTTAGTGATCAGTTAAACATTGAGATAGATGGCTGCTGTAGGGGTGCAGAGCTGGGATAAAATGAGGAAACAATGATAGGAGTAGGTGGGAGGCAACACAGTCCCTTTGAAGCCCTACACAGGAGGAAGAGATGGGCATGGTTAGCTTTAGGTATGGCTCCCATAATCCCTCTTAACCTGAAGTCAGGATTTTAGATATTGTGGAGCCACAATTTTAGGCTGATTTCTCTATCGCTTCTTGTGTCCTTTTCTCTTCCCCTTAGTGATAATCATGTCACTAGAGTAAAACCTTCTACATAATAGAATCTTGCTCTTCTAGTATTCTGATTTTATAAATAAACTGCTTAAAATGTTGTTCATAACACTTATAATTCTTGCATTCACAGAAGAATAAAGTATGTTCTAATCTTAAAGTGTCTGGTGAATTTCCTTGAAGCCATGAATATTCAACTAATTTAGTACCATAAAAATTCTTTAAACAAAATTGGTGAAAATGCCCTTGAAAATGTCAAGTAAAAGTAATCTACAGAGGCAATTCCCACATGTAGTTTTTAATGAAACATTTCAAAATGCTATGTTTTAATGGCCAGCAATAGGACAATGTAACCTGATAATTCTTTAAATGACATAATTATAAATACTAGAAAAAAAAAACCACAGATAATTCAGGAAAACATAAGTCTACTTACTATTTGTAGGTTTCAGAACGGATATATTCAAAAACATGGGACACGCCAAGCTGGAACTGGTCAGCAATAGGGGTAACCCAGGGATTGTTCTCCGCTTTGAATACTTGCTTCTGACCAGTTAAATCCAAGTTTCCTGAAAGGATAAAGAGGGAAAAGAAAAATGTGAAGTCATCTCAACCAACACAGATCAGCTCTAAAAACTCCTGGGTAGTGGCCACAGCACTGCCGCTGCTACCCTGGGACCTTGTGGTCACTGACTGCATTTTCAAAGAAATCTCTTACCCCAGGACATCACTGGTAGGTATATAAGTAATGTCAGTGATAATAAATTAAGACCAAATGGAAGAAGAAATAAGAAGGGAGGATGGCAGAGGAAATGCAGGGAAGGGGGAAAGGAAGGATGCAGACCTAGAAGCTCTTGCCAGTGTAACATATGCCCTGTCTTTCTAGGTATTTATCACAGAATCTAAAAAAGACTTTTCTGAGACGGAAGGAAACAGAAGTGTTGAAGCCCCCCGAAATTCTATGTTGAGAAGATTAAGTGAATATTCACTTGTCTTCGTAGATCTAAGCCCAATCTGATCAGTACCACCTCCTCAAGCAAGGAGCATGTGCATGAAGAGAGGAATGCTACCCATGTAGCACAAATGATTATTGTTTTACTAGACACAACAGTCAGAAGCACATTTCAGAATCAGCATTAAAGGATACTCATTAACATGCTAATGATGGAGACTAACACATGTACAGCTCTAATCAGTTTATAAATTCCTTTTTAGAACCATTTCCTCATGTATTTCCCTGGCAATCCTCCAAATTAATTTTCAACATCACTTTTTAGGTGAAGAAATGGAAATTTAAGGGAATCCACTAATATGTTTAAGATTAGAAAACGCTGCCATGTGGATTCAAACACGACTAGAAACCACCACTGCTTTCTACCGGTAAAACAATCATGTTAAATTACATGTCAGTCTAGACTGGTAAAGATGAACTTGCCAGGTGGTGGCACACACCTTTATGCCAGCACTCCAGGAAGCTGAAGCAGGAAGATGTCAAGTTTGAGCTTAGCACGGACAACCTATCTTAGTGAGATTCTGTAAAAAAAAAAAAAAAAAAAAAAAAGAACAGGCAGGGAATGAGGCTCTGGATATCAGTCTAATTTTTTTCCCTTTTGGTATGTTCAAAAATGGGAAAAATGTGTGGAAGAACTTTGTGTTACCTGCTTACCTATGAAAGAGAGAGGCAGGGACAGTAATTAAGCAATTGAGACAGGAATTAAGTAGTTGAGATTTATGTAGCTTTTCCCAACAGCAAATGGACAGAAGCCCTTCCTCTAAAATTCCTACTGAGCATGTACATTTTCAGACTTCCTGTTCACAGCCCAGGGCCCTGGAACACAGACATTCAGCAAACACTCTTCCCAAGACACAACCAAAGTAGCATTTGTCCTATTCTTATGCTCTGTTATCTACTGTTGTCCTAATTGATAAGTCAGGATAATGAAAACATATTCTGGGATGCAAGTAGGCCCAGACACAAATCATTTCTTAGCTGATCTGTGCTTTGGGAATGAAAGGATAAATGAAATTTTTACTAGGAAAATGATGCAATATTTCTTTTGCAAACAAATAGATACACTGAATCGTTTATGGTTTTATTACATGGACTTGCAACTGTTCAGGAAAATGGAGAAAGAAAAGTGATTACAAATTCACAAAATGCTTCTAAGGAAGGAAATGTTATGAAATATTAAGAGAAAATATTTCACCATGATCTTTACAAGGAAACTAAGAACCTGCTGGTGTCAAGTGAAAAAATAAAGAGATACATTCTTCTCCAACATTGTCAATAATGCCACTGTCCTCATCTTAGTGGTTGAATATGATCAGGCAGACATTAAGTCTCTTGGGAAATTAATGAGCTTGGTTTTCCAGCCGTTGGAAAGCCTTCTAAGGTTAATGCAAATCGAAGGGTCACAGATATTTTGTGCAGTTGAGCACCTTGTCCTGAGGACACCTTGTTGGTAAAGAGCTGCCACCCAGCCTTTTGTTTCTGTTTCTACTTTTACTTAGGAAAGGGTTTTAGCTTCCCCACTGATTGCTTGTCTACATTTCTTCATTGTCCCCATTTTCTTTTAGAATCTAGTTTATGATACTTCTATGTCATCTCTTCATATCCTTCCTTCCTAATTTCTTTTTATTCAAATTCTCCTTTTCTAAAGCAGAGGGCAATAGGGATTTCCAGAAAGAACCCATTACAGACAGATCTGTATGTACTGGAGGCTGTTCCTGGGACGGTGGCCATTGAGGGGCAGGTGTGCATTCCAGGCAACAGTACCCGCAGCACAGCAATTCACTACCAAAGAGAGGACGATGGAGCTCCAGGTGAACGATCTTCACACAGTCACCAAAGAAACAACTTGTGCTGACTTACTGCTATCTTCCTGACTTTGAGCCCTCCCCATGGACTCAGCCCAGAAGTAACCAGGAAACAAATGATGGAGACCCTTGGAAAGATCCGTGTATTTAAAGTGCATGAGGAAGAAAACAAAACTGTGATAAGCATTATAAATTTATGCAATTAGGATGTGAACTAATTCCTAAATGAAAGGTATCCCTCCCTATTGGCAATTCTGCCCTCAATCTGTTCCCTTCTCACCCCCCAAAACTGCTTTATCCTACTGAGACATAATCTGAATTTCCAGTCAGTAGAAGAACTCTATTCTATTGAACAAGCACCCAGGGCTTTCCATCATTCACAGGTTACCATGAGTCCATGCAACTGCGCCACTCTCCTGTTGACATGTGGTTCACATGGAGGTCACCACAACAGGACTTTGTTCTTTACACGGGGGAGAAGAACAGGAAGAAGAGAGAAGGCAGCTATGCTGGAGGCACACAGCACTTCTGACCACAGCGTATTCTCAGGGCGCTCATCAGTATGAGCGCAACACAGGCCAGAGAAAGGACCAGGCAAAGATTCTATGGATAAACTTGAGCTATTCCAATTTGGACCTGGGATGACTTACACAGGACAGTAAAAGAAAGAGATGTGTTTCTTTCTCTGATTTGCTCCCAGGCTGGCCTCAATAATCCAGAAGTAAGGTAAACTGTGAGCTAAGCATCACAGAGGCCCACACCCTGCCACCACCAACCTATGAACCTTGTCTGGCATGCAAACAGCCTCTTGCTAATTTCTTAACAGCTTCTTACTAAGGCTGCAGGCTTTTTAATGCTAATCTTCCAAAAATAATGCATTAAGTTCTGTGCTGCCTGACTGCCACACATGGAAGACAGACCTAGAGGAATAATGCCAAGAAAGGTCAGCTGTGCCCTTCTCTCTGTAGCTTCTCACCCGCTGGAGATCTGTCAGTCCCAAGTGACGTCTCTATTAGTGCTGTCAGAGGAGACAAAGAGCCACAGGGGATTGCTAATGACTTCTGCTAACTGGAGGAGATGCTGGATGCAAACTAGACACGCTCCCTTCAGGGAAAAAGAGTCTTACACTGATGTCTGAAAGTCAAGAAAACAGAAAGGACTGTGGACTATTCATGAGCATCTTCATTTACATTGCTTGGAAACCATTTGCACCTCTGGCCAGGGCTTGGGAAGGAGATGTGGCTCTGGGTTAAGCCAGCCCATTCCCATTTGCTTATTTTAGTCTCAAACTTGCTGCTAAATCAAATTCACAGGTGCTTCATAAGGTTGCAAGAACTGGGAAGCCTAAAAGGAAGAATGACTCAGGTTCACAGGGGGGGAATTAAAAGCAACAGCTTCTTGTTGGACGCTGTTTCCACTTTTTAACCAAACACCATAAAAAGGTGTTCAGTGTCCACGGCAAACCTCACAGGAAGAAACAATTGCCTGTGACCAGAACGGCAATCACATCACACATGAGCCGTTAATAACCAGGCAATGCCTGTTGAGAGCTACAACCTGGTGCCATAGGATGTGTTTATTTTGTTTTTCAACTTAATGTCACCGGTGGATAACACAATCCTTGCTTTTGTGGAGCTGTAATCCTCCCAGCAAGCTATTCATCTCAGGCCTCTCTTACCTCACTCTACACCAATCCAACACGCAGCAGTCTGAGAAGAGGTCTAATATAATTAGAGGAAAGCTAGGCCATTATACTGTGTGAAAAGATGACACCCATCTCATATCAGCCTAGCAACAAGTCCCCATTGAGTTGGCACGGCTCGTCTGTCAGCTGTCTGGGGCAGGTTCCCTTTTAAGTAATAACATGCAGGAAGCATCTCACCCCGCTGTCCGTCAGCCAGCAATCACACTCACGCCGCACGCTTCAGTGCACCGAGAGCGCACCCCTCACCCATCCCCTTTATTAGAAGGCTGAGCAGTGCTCTGGTGGTGTTCTAACAAGGATCAGGCAGCAGGATTAAGCACTGTGACAAAGAGGATCTAATAAGCTCGAAAGTGGTGCATCTACAGACACGCTGGCTGGCTCCACACACAGATTCACTCTGCTCTTCCTCAGTTGGAAGGCGCAGGCCACTGGGGAAGCCAGGCAGCGCTGTGATTAGCCATGACCCCCTGACCGATGCTGCTATGAAGATCATATATCACTCAGAGACTTATTCTGCAATTGCAAATTGGATTTTCCATTTTATTACCTGCAAAAGGACCACATATGCTTCTTTCCTTAGCCTCTAGTACAGCAGGCTTGGCGGTACAATGTAATTGTATCAACATTAAATCATGCAAAACAATTGTTCCCTTTACTAGTTATAAATGTGATTGAATACAATAGGCAATTGCAGCCCCATTAATAAGCATGCTCGTTTTCACTTATGGAAATTGGTTGTTTCAGTAATCACACTGTGCAAATTCTTCCTGAGTACTCAAAATCCTAAAAAATGTGGCTGGAAGCACCATTTGTCACAGCATGAGTAATCAGGGGTGAGGGGTGGGGGGAACTAGGGCAAATTTTTCACGTCATCAAAGCATCATTTCTTCCTTTCCTAATTTCAAAATGATATCCCAGAGAATGTTTTCAATAATGCATTCTTAGTCATAAAAACGTGGGACAATGGGTTAGCAAGTAAATTTACAAAACCATGGCTGATTGGGTAGTCTATCATTGCTAAACCAGATTTGCCCAAATCCAGGTAAT